AATATGCCTGTTTTCAGCATACCTCACCATTCCATGAAATCTACATATATGCAGAAAGTATTTTTGGAATTTGCTGCTAGAAATATATATTAAATAGTGGGGGAGGTGGAAAAAAATTAGGGGAGGTGCAGCAGTCTAGCTCACGACCCCCATGGAAAGTTAGGACTCAGAACGGGCCAAAGTCAACAATGTGATGTATTGTACATATGCATGTAGTGTACATATGTATCAGTGTATTAATGAATTATGACTGTACAATTACTCATTTATACAATTACAATTACTACAAAGTTTCTTTCAAAATATTGCATTAAAAGGATACTTGACACAGAGATGAATTGCCAATCATTGTTCAATTTTACAGAAAAAACTTTCTTACGTACTGTAGACCATAAGCAACCAAAAAATGTCAAATTTTCACTTTGATCTATCATTGAAACTTTTCCAAGGGGAGGTGCACGACTTTTCAGGGGAGGTGCAAAAATTCTCAGGGGAGGTGCAAAACAATCTCAGGGGAGGTGAGCACCTCCCCACACCTCCCCTCAAAATCTCGCCATGAGGCAATGTTGGTTAAGAACCATTGTTATATAGCTAGGGTGAACACCAAACATGATTGGCTGATTTGTGGTCACGTGACTTCAGATAAATGCAATGTAACCCGCCAGGCAACAAGTGACCCGCCAGGCAACAAGTGACCCGCCCCGACCGGCTACGCACATAAATAAACAAAATGGTGGCACAACTAGCATAATTAGAAACTACGATTTTCCAAGTTTGTGTTCAAATAAAGAATGTAAAAGAGAAGAAAAATTACACAACAGGATATGCTGCATGCTGAAACCGTTTAAGTAGGTTCTTTTAATTTTTAACTTGTTTACACTATAGAGTTTTTGCAAGGGTGGGTTGACAACAAAATTTTTGTAGTTCGCTATAACTACAGCTACTTCAAAAATATGTAGTCAGCTACAACTACTGCTACTTTTGAACAAAGGTAGTTCGCTACTGACTACAGCTACTGCTTAAAAAATGTAGCGAACTATTTCGCTACTCTATATTTTTTAGTTTTACGGTATTTTAAGCATCCACTAGCTCAGGCTGTTATATAACCTATAACAAATCGACTTACGAGTAGCAACAGTAAACAAAAAGGCTCAAAGCAACATTTTTATAAGTACTACAGCGTTCACGAGTACCACTTTTCATTGCGCTAAAATAATCTTTACTGTATAAAATAATATACAAATAATGAATGTTTATGAGTGCAATGGTAAGAATATTTTCATGAGGTGAAAGATGGAATGTTCCATTCAACGAGGCGACAGCCGAGTTGACTGGAACATTCCATTTTTCACCGAATGAAAATATTCTTACCATTGCACGAAGAAACATTCATTATTTGTTTTATATAATACCAAAATAGTTTAAATAGACTAATAGATTCGTATGAGAAGCATTTTGAGGGATGCGATTTATCGAAAACACAAAGAGTGCAATTGTACTATACGTTTTATTCCATTGCACTCGCAGAGAGTGCAATGGAACGTGTTCCATTGCACTCTTGGGAAATGGAATTTTCTATTCGATATCACGTGACCATAAACAGCCAATTAAACGATTAGAATTTATTAAGGTATTATATAATCTTTACTGTATAAGGGAAGCCTCACATATCGATTTTGTCCATGAGAAACGTCATATGTTCGTTTCTCTGGAGACCCCCCACCCCCCTTAGAAACGTCACACATAGTTATCGATATTTTGTTCTTATGGTACACATAAGGTAATTTTCTACTATTTTTTTCGGTCGGCTATTGGCGATGCTTCCGCGAGGAATATGTCATCTTCTGCTGACATACTCTTTTTTTATTAATATATATGTGAACTTCAAAATTTCCAACGTTTCTCAAAACAACTTTTTTTGCATGAAATATTGATAATTTTAGCGCGTATTTCTTGAAATTTGAGTGTTTTCAAATCCAAAGAAGGCGTAATAATATAAATGTATAGGTATAGAACAGGTACGGTATTACAAATATATAGACTGCTGTTTGTATCAAATTGTTTTCTTTTTTATACTCTGCAAAGATAAAAACTATCGATTTTTTCCATGATGTTTACAGAGAAACGTCACAGCTGCCAACCCCCCCACCCCCAAACGAACATATGACGTTTCTCGTGGTTGTGAGGCTTCCCTTATAGTTCTCGTGGTTTTGAATCGGTTTTTAAAATTTTTTCGATATAAATTTTCTACCTTTGACCATTTGGACAAAGATATGCAAGTCGTACGTGTTATTCTCGCCCGTGAAAGACGACAAGTAAATTTTAAAACCTCAAGAAATGTGGGAAAAGACGAGACTTGAATATGGATTTTATACAAAGGATAAGAGACTAATTTTCATATTTCAATTTTTTAATATTTAGACTTTACCTTATTTGACACTCTCCTCCGCAGAGCCTTACGAATTTTTAGTAAAATTGCGTAATATTAAGGGGGGGGCAAGTTACGCAAGGTATGATGGGAAGACGGAAGCTACCATCGATCTCACCCCCCGTCGCGTACCACTACTACTAATATCCTCTACTATCCCTACAAATCCTATATAATTCAGACCATAGAATAAGAAATGAATAGAAGGGCAACTCGCGTGTGCAAAGCGTAACCAATTTTCAGTGCGCACGCGCGGGATTCTCAAGCTCGCAGAGTCTCGCAGCCAGTAAAAGCCAGTCAGTGCAACGGTCAGTATAATCTGCAGACTGCGGACTGCAGACCGGACTGGGTACAAAATGCAGACTGGGGGTATAAAATGCAGACTGAGGATAAAATGCAGACTGGGGGTGAATTAGGGATATTTTACAAATTCCCCGCCAAGCCATAGTCACGTGATCGTTCTTGTTGATATATTAATGTTGAAGCATCAAAATGGACGAAGAAGACAGCGATGTAGAGGTATTGATATTATATGAATATTTATATTATTCTCATTCAACCGTAAAACTTGATAACTTTAACACATTTCTTTACGTTTAATATTAGAACGTTTGGTTACGTTGTATTAGATCGGAACAATGAAATCTGGACGTTTTGAGTGTGAAATTGTAATGGTATATATCGTGTCGACTGTCAAGCACATGGTTTTGTATTAGCAATTTTTCATATTTTCAAGCGTTTCGCTCCTGTAATTCAAGTTCATATACGTATATAGACCAACAGCAAGCTTGCGTTTGCCGAGTTTTGAAACATATATGAGTATAGAGTGCTTGTCGACAGTCGACACGATATATACCATTAAAATTTCACACTCAAAACGTCTAGATTTCATTGTTCCGATCTAATGCAACGTGAACGAAACGTTCAAATATTAAACGCAAAGAAATGTGTTAAAGTTATTGTTACCAAGGATTGAACCACGCACAGACCATAGAGATTTTTCGTAATATATATATAAAAATAGGTACGCGCTGCGTACATGTGGGTAGCCTGCATTCAGTAATTGTTGTTAAAGCTGGAGTAATACCGAGGTTGGAGTAATATGCGCAACAAAATTGCTGCAGCCACAATTTCTGCAACAAAATCTGATTTCAACGCATTTGAAGTAGAAATGTTGACAAAACATTTCAATTAACATGCGCAGAAATCAGATTTTGTTGCAAGTTGCAGCAATTTTGTTGCCCATATTAGTATATTACTCCACCTTAATTGCTATTGTCAAATTCCGAATTTACTAAAAGAAAGTATTAAGTAAATTGAACACAATTCAAATATTATACACACATTTAATCACATACTGAACATCAGATATGACAAAAATACGTAAACGACGGTTACGTGCATTTTTCAATAAACATAAACAGATTTAAGAAGTTACAAAGTATTTTAATGTGTCAAAAATAATTTGCACACTGAACAGACAGAACAGTACAAGGTCTTTAATATGTATACGAAACAAAATACATCACACGCCGAAATACAGACAGTACGAAAAACACTTAAGACAAGAACAGTTCTTGTTCAAGGACAGCATACATCAAAGACAAAGCATCAGGTTTACAGGCTGCGTATATACAATTTTCGTGAAGTTTGAGTTTCAAGGATAGTCCATGCAAAGATCTAAGGACGATGTTTTCCGGCGGAGTTTGAAAAAGATCAACATATACTTTATTTAGTGATGATTGAATTATTTAAACAACGACATAATCGATCTCATATATATTGGTAATGACATTCAATTTGCTTTCAATATTCGACAAATATATCCCAAAGTAAAAAAGCGCTAATATTCCACTGCCTAATTTAATCCTTGTGTAAACCGTGCTTGGCTTTCTATTTGCCTTAACTTACACATTCGACTAACCCGATTCCAATGACGTGGCCTTACAAACATTATGTAAGCAACGACATACTCGATTCTATATACCTATATGTTCGTCATTCGTCAACATTCCTTCGATATAGACTAACGTAAATATGTCCAATCGTCGCGCGCTATATCGCTATATCACTATATAGCGCTATATATTTTTCTAATACGTATAAAATGTTTGATCAAACTGATATGTCGTGTTTAAATATGACATTACACGATATAAAACAGACCCCGTGCGCTAATATTAACCCCAATGACCCTTGTACAAGCAGTGATTATAAAAACAACGACATATTCGATTCTATATGCGTTGGAAATGACTATCGACCTGACAAAACATATTACAATAAAGACTTTACTAAGAATTTATACACATCTCTGTACGGTATGAGCGTTAGTGAACTTAGCCTGTGGTCTATAGACGGTTCGTATTTCAAGGATAAAGGAACCGCGCAGCAGGACACCGCGGACAAGAAGGCCACAGCGCCACAGAGCCACAGAGCCACAGAGAAACGGAAGATCGCGTTTCAGTCTCTCACATAGTGGTTAGCTGCGCATGCGCGGCTACCCACAAAAAATTCTACAGTAAATAATTAGATTCTGATTAGATTACAGTTCAAAATATTACATGCATGATTGATAAATTCATAGCTATCCTAATGGCTTAATACAAATGATTAATCACAATACACTGTACCTAAAGAGTGGATCTCTACGGCTGTTAATCTCTCTGTTTACTGTTCACTCGCAGTACTCTCAATAAAACTCTTTTTTGTCCAATGTTATTAAAATGTCTTTTTAGCTATCTACGTCATTAAATAATTACTATCTGTCAACACCTAAAATACTGAATCAAGTTATAATCATATTAAATCAAGGTAAAATTACTAAAGTATAAAGTTAAAGAGTTTAATGTTCATGCAGACTGTCCGAAACACTCTCCGGCCACGATTAGGAAGAACCTTCTTCCAGTATTGAACAACACTTCTGCACGGATCGTTCATACTCTCCTGTCTTTGTTCTCAGCTTCACGTTTCTTATCAACCTCGTCCCCAGGGCCTTTGAGCTGACTTCGTGCTGGAGAAGGCCCTGGCATCGGCTGACATTTTACACCCCAAAATTTGGGGTGTGAATTAATTAAGACCACTTAATTTCAATGCGCGAAATTGTTTTATTCTTCAAAATTTCCTATACTTGCTGCTCCAGGACAAGGTAAATGTTATATATTTTTAATCCTCGAGAAATAAGCTATCGGAAAATATTTGAATCAAATTTGTACGATCAGAAATTTAGAAGCTACGAGTCAATTTGGCAGCCGCTAGACTACAATTTAATTGTTTACAACATGGCAACAACATTACAAATCTTATGTAAGCTCATCCAATTTTTGTTGTAGAGACTTTGTTTGCTGATCTTTCGTAAGAAAATCTTCTAAGGATCACAAAAATATATAATGTGTCTGGTGTTAAGATAGAAAATAATTTTTAAATGAAGAAAGTGAATGGACTATGCACGCCAGTCGAGACATATTAAATATTTAGTTTAGAATGTGAGCATCAAATTTCGTTGGTAAATTTGGTGAAGACTTGCTCAAACCTTTACATACTTTATATAATCTGTATCGCTATACAACCGGGAGTTCAAATATGTTTGAATGAGGTATATTGGTTGAGTATTATAAAAATTATCTAAAGTTTTGTACTGAGGATTCCAAAAATTTTAATACATATCACAACATACATGGCATCTAAATACAGACGAATTGACTCGTAGCTTCTAAATTTCTGATCGTATAAATTCGATTCAAACATTTTCCGATAGCTTATTTCTCGAGGATTAAAAATATATAACATTTACCTTGTTTTGGAGCAGCAAGTATAGGAAATTTTGAAGAATAAAACAATTTCGCGCATTGAAATTAAGTGGTCTTAATTAATTCACACCCCAAATTTTGGGGTGTAAAATGTCAGCCGATGCCAGGGCCTTCTCCAGCACGAAGTTAGCTCAAAGGCCCTGGGGACGAGGCTGGTTTCTTATAACACCGTCTGGACCAGGATAAACTTCGATCACTCTCGCTAGATTCCACTTTCCTCTCGCGACACCTGACTCTACCATCAAAACTATGTCATCAACCTTGAGTTGTCGTTCTTTGCTCGTCCACTTCGTTCTCCGCATCAGCGTCTGGAAATACTCGCGCTGGAACCGTTTCCAGAACTGTTGTACTAACGTCTGGATGTATTCGAATCTCTTTCGACAATTTCTTGCTTCTCGAAACGGACCTTGCGGGACGTCGGCTGACGCACGGCCAAGGATAAGGTGGTTCGGGGTTAAAGGACGAAGATCGTTTGGGTTGTTGGAGGGATATCCAAGGGGGCGGCTGTTTACGAGACTCTCAACTTCGGCGAAAACGGTTGACATCTCGTTCTACGATAACACTTGTTGTCCGACTATCACTCGTAATGCTTTCTTCGCCAGTTTGATAAGGCTTTCGAAGAATCCTGCTTGATGGGGACTCAGCGGTGTATTGAATCGCCACTTGACTTTGTGAACTACAGCGAAGTCTTCGATTTCTTGTTTTCCTTCTTGCAGTAATTTCTTCAACTCTCGTTCAGTTCCCACGAATGACGTTCCGTTGTCCGAGATAACAGTGTTGGGCCATCCATGGTGGGCCGCAAACCGTCGCAGAGCATGGATAAAAGCTTCGGTTGACAAATCTTGCACGATCTCTAAATGTATGGCGCGGACTGTAGCGCACGTAAAGAGAGCTCCCCAACTCTTGACTTTCAAGTTTCGACCATACTTTAGATAAAACGGACCAAACAGGTCGACGCCAGTAACTGAAAACGGTGGTGAGAAAGGCTTCAACCTCTCTGGTGGTAGATCTGCCATCAGTGTGGTGTATGGGTACTATCGAAGTCTGCGACAGGTGACGCACTCTCTCACGATCTTCTTCACCACGTTTTCGGTAACAAGCATGGCGGACGGACGCTTATTTGTGAGCTCTGACGCCGAATTAAGCGATGTTGAAGAGAATACAACAAAAAATGTAGAATCTAAGCAAGCGAATAACATCAATGTCGTTAAAGGGGAACTCCAGTCCAAATACAAGTGTGGTTTATATGAAAGATCTTCCCCTTATTAGAATGTTCCTCAAGTATTTCGGTCTAAATATTAATAGTAAAGGAGAAATTGCTTGTCAAAGTTTGCGATTTTGTCAAATTTGGGCGCCATGTTGTTCTTTTCATTGCAGACTCGGATTTGTCCAGCGCCCTTATTTTTGACGTCATTGCGTGCTTCGAAGGTGTTGTTCATATAGAAAACTATGGCTTTGTATGGCGATTTATTAAGAATATCGATTTTTTCTCTGGTTCTAATTCTTTAATTAACGTGAGTTTAGACCGATTTAACAAGATGTTTTACAGGCGGAGATATTTTACATTACCGAGCTTCTGGCTGAGGTGAATCAAGAGTTGTCAGGTCATGTTCATGCTGGTGTACGGAAAGCTTGCGCAGAATTAAATAATTATATGTTGCGGTTGTTGCCCTGTGTGGATCTGGCTCTTGTTGGACTCTCGGATTCAATTTGCATGAATATCGATGCTGCGTTTGCGTTCAGCAACGATTTATCGGTTTATGCGACTTCTGTTTGCGAGCAATAAGAATTAAGATTAATTGCGGTATCGGGTATTTCACTGAAAGTCACAGATATAGTCGTGGCCATGGATTTATATCAATTTTAATCGAATAGAGGTGAGAGAGAAGAGAGTCGTCACTCGTATGAATGCATGGGTATCTTTTACTGCTAACATGTCTTTAATCATTTGTTTAAGTTTGCGAATTGAATCAGCCTGTCCTTGAGTTAGGGCTCAGGGGCGGATCCAGGATTTTTCGTACGTTAGTCAAAGTTTTCGGATGTACAATCTAGTTTTGCGAGCGGCGAATGCGCGAGGCACCTAGGGGGGTCTGTCCCCCAGGAATTTTTATATTTTTAAACCTCCGAAACGCAATTTGCATCACTCTGAAAGCAGCTTCAACAAAAAATTAACTTCATGAAATGGGAGATAATTATAGCAACTATCAGTCTGACTGACTCTCACAACTCGCTCCTTAGGGAAAAGTAAAGGAGAACTGGAGAAGTACTTGCAGAAATGTGATAATTGTGGAAGATGTTTCATTTTATCAAATTACGGATTGTTAGTATTATGTTTAACTATCTCATGATAGTACTACACTCATTTTTGTTGCCTAATAGCCTTGTTGAGTCATTGATCACTTGACTAGTAATCACTACAGTGTCATATTACTCAAATAAACATATATCAATATTAAAGTCTTAACATTCATCTATAAAACCTGACATTTATATCCTATGTATACTGCATTAATGCATTTATATAAGTTATCCTCCATATTAATAGCCTTCTGAGTTCTGACGGACCTTCAACCGCAGAATTACAAATATGCAAATTTGTTGTGTAAATCAAAATTCATAACTAAATCTAAATCAAGATACGCGTATTCAAGTTACAATTTTACATATGCATGGCGGTCATCTTGTTCGCTTATAAATATTGTTATGCTGTCTAAAATGAAATACAATTTACATATCACATTAAATTTACCTTATTGCACTTCAGAATAAAGATCTCGGCGCCAATACTTCTACTCAAACAGTCAAACTGTAGTTCGTGCTATTCGTGGCGCTTACGCCGCTTAGCAACTGCTCACTGAATGGAACTCTCCGATATTTAGCGTTGATTTTCCTCCCAAGATCAGCGCAACAGTCTTGTAAGACAGCTAAATCATTCACCGCAAATGCGGATTGAACCGTTTCGTGAATACTACAAGGACTGGAGTCTGGAGCAGCAGACATTTCCGAATTTTCCGTAGATATCTTTAAATTGAATCTTTCGACAAAGCTACAACATGACACTTCGAATGAGCGCGCGCTCGGAAAGACTTTACCACGCGTCAAATATTAATGATATTCCGACTAATGGAGCGCCCCTGACTTTTGTAAATCGGTCAGAACTCCCCACAGATCAGTCAAAATTGCAAAAAATCGCTTGTTACCATGGCAATAAGCGTCTAGACCAATCAAAACACTGGATTTTGACTTTTTGACTGACCGACTTTGCGTATGTCAGCTGCTCATTGACTTGACTAAGCTCGTCGGCTCAACCACTGTATGAAATTTGATCACTGGACTACAGTTCGATTGGAATGTTAATTGCTAGCGCTGCATGATAATAGTTACTGGACTATTATAAGGTGTCGCTGCATGATAAAAAATAACTGGACTATTGGTCGAATATTTAAGACTTTAATTAAGTTTGCAATTTTTACGTTAGTCGCGTGACTGGTTTGACGACCCCTAGATCCGCCCCTGTTAGGGCTTGAAGCAAACGGCATGATACAAGCAGTTTCAGTCGCTGAAAACATTTTGTTATTTATTGTGCAATTACTGTAAATAGACGTCTTACTTTGAGCGATTCTTTGACTTGCGAGTTTGCGTCAAGCATTTGCATATATGAAATGAATTTAGACATCAACAATATAAAATAATGTTACCTGGATAATTCTGAGGGCAGACTACATGCTGGGCTACTATCATATGTCGCATGACAAGCTGTTTATAGAAATATATTTGTCTGTTGGCTGTAACTTGAAGTTCAGGTGATGCGATTTAAAGAAAGTACGATGAGATTTTTAAAAAAAGACAATCCTCACAAAAGAATTGTTTTATAACAGACAGGCTAGCACAGGGTTTTAAACATTCGTTGTAGTGTTGGGTGTTTTATTTATGCACAACAGTGTCAAGTTACTAGTAAGGACCCACATGAAATGTTTATACGCAGTTGTTGCGATGGTTTAACAGGTTTATAGTTTACTGTTATTTTATATAAACTGTCTTAAATGCAACATGCCTATGAATTTTTTGGTTCAGAACACTGTCACAGACTATTTCAGAAGTCTCAAAACCTAGTTGGTAACCAACAAGCTCACTTTCCGCTACTGCAGTATATTTTTGCTAGATGTTTCAGCCTTGCCCAACCGATTTTAAGTTTTTAACTACGATTGATATATTTTCAGCAAGTCAGAACAAGAAAATCCATTTCGCAAATTTGCACAATAAGTATCTAGTCAAACGAGAGTCAGATGCCCAGATGTACAAGGAGCAACATATTACATATACGATATATTTTCTACATTAACTACGCAAGCAACCATGACCTGGCATTGGCTGGCAACCCTTGATTCACCTCAGTCAGAAGCTCGGTAATGTAAAATATCTCCGCCTGTAAAATATCTTGTTAAATCGGTCTAAACTCACGTTAATTAAAGAATTAGAAGCAGAGAAATAATCGATATTCTTATTAAATTGCCATACGAAGCCATAGTTTTCTATATGAACAACACCTTCGAAGCACGCAATGACGTCAAAAATGAGGGCGCTGGACAAATCCGAGTCTGCAATGAAAAGAACAACATGGCGCCCAAATTTGACAAAATCGCAAACTTTGACAAGCAATTTCTCCTTTACTATTAATATTTAGACCGAAATACTTGAGGAACATTCTAATAAGGGGAAGATCTTTCATATAAACTGCACTTGTATTTGGACTGGAGTTCCCCTTTAAGTATCTTAATATTACTGAAAAAGGAAAACTCAGATGGACAGGTTCTTTCGACAATCTCGAAATACTGATGAACGAGTTGCTCGAGACACAGACAAAATGGTCATCGCCTGGTGGTCATTGTAAGCTGCTAGAGATGGACAACTTCGAAATGCGGTGGTATTCAAACAATTACTCTTTAATTATTAAAGGGGAGCAAGACGAAGTCGAAGAAATAAACTCTCGGTTGCGAATAATGGCCAACCTAGCTGATAAAGAAACCGAGTTATCAAACGCTTTTGTCAGTGAAGGAAATGGCGACAGGGAGGGAGACGGCGTAAATACAGCCTCGACCGAAAACAGTCATATCGAAATAAATTCACATGAGACATCGAACTACAACAAAGTACTCGACAGTATACAAGACCTTGAACTGTGTTTTGTAAACAAATTCGATGAGCTTTTGCAGGAAATTCGACAGTCCAAAACAACAGAAGAAACTATCAGTGAAGACCGAAATTCCTTAATTAAAGAAAATGGCAAACTGAAGCAAGAAATCGACATACTATCGGACCAAGTCAATAACTATAAGTGTATTGCATCGGACTTACACATGAAAGTTAAACAACTAGAAGATGAACAGAAAAGTTTAATAACAGCAATCAAAATTGTACAAAATGATTGCAATACAAATAAACAAAGTACATGGTCATGGAATGTTGTTAAAAATCGTAAGCCAAATCAGAATGAAAACACACAACGTGGACAAAACTCTGGGGAAAATAGTCGCAATGGACTAGCCAAGACAGATAATCAATATTCTGTTTTAGTTGATGAAAGTGACGACGAGATTAACATATTATCTCAAAGTCAATTACCTAAGAATAGAAATCAATCTGAGGCAGCGTTTACACTGTACCGTTTTCGTAGCGTTCTCGTATTGTTCGAGAGAACTAGACTATTGTCTTGCGTTCCCTTGAGGATTAAGAACAATACGAGAACGCTACGAAAACGGTACAGTGTAAACGCTGCCTGAAGCACCCGGACGCACCATCAGGTCCAATGAAGACAAAAGACGTAACTATTCTGCGCCTAGAAAACAACAAGCAGACAACGACCGAAATAACAACAACAACGAGCGAGTCCCAGATTCTCGCAGATCTCCGCGCGTAGGACAATCCAGAGTTGCTATTTTGGGCGATTCTATGCTTAAACAAATAAACGCGAGAGGAATTCAACAAGGAATGAAGCATAAAATTGTTGTAAAAACATTTGCTGGTGCGGGAATAAAAGAAATGAATCACTATGTAAAACCAACGTTACTCACGGCACCAAATAAGCTTATTTTACACGTCGGAACCAATGATCTACAAAGAATGACGCCAGATGAATTGTTGACACATGTACAAAAGCTTGGAAAGAGCATTACTCGAGAAAACGGGAATATTGAATTAGTTTTATCAGAAATCATAACAAGAAATGACGATAAAACATTGGCTGATAAGGTAAACGAATATAACAAGGGATTAGCCCAACTATGTATAGAACGAAATTGGTGTCTTATCAGGCACAATAATATTGACGTAAACCATTTAAATAACTACAGACTGCACTTAAATAAGCAGGGTACATCAGTCTTAGCAAAAAACATAAAGCAATTTCTTAATAGGAATTGACTAGGTAACGACAATAATAATGACATAAGACACAGGGATAATAATATAGTCGACAAAGATATTTCCGATGGTCCAGCACGCTGCACCTCGAAAAGCCCAAAAATTCCTTTCCAAATTAATAAGCTAGTCTTAACCAAAACTAAAGGGTTTTAAAATTGGCCACTTAAACATTACTAGTTTGCCGAAACACATGGATGAGCTTAAATTATTCATGAAGGAAATATCATTCCACATTCTTTGCATAAACGAAACTAGATTAGACAATACAATTAACGACAATATTATTAAGATACCAGGTTATGATATTGTAAGACGAGACCGAGATCGAAATGGTGGCGGTGTAGCAATTTATATAAGAAGTATCATTAGTTATAAAAACCATATCGAATTCATTCCAGACAACTTAGAATCTATTTGTCTTAAAATTCAAAACCTAAGTCAAAACCACTCTTAATTGTTACATGGTATCGTCCACCAAATTCTAACACTAGCATATTAAACGACTTCGAAACGTTACTGCGAAAACTAGATGATACAAATATTGATATTATTATCACTGGCGACCTAAATTGCGATATGATGGCAAACAGTCCCACTCATCATACAAAAAGGTTATCCGATCTGATAAATGAGTTTCAGCTAAAGCAACACATTACAAGTCCGACCAGAATAACGACAACATCTAAAACATTAATTGACATAATAATGACTAAAGCAAGCGATACCAAAATTATAGACTCTGGAGTGATACATTTAGGACTGAGTGATCACAGTTTAGTGTACATTTGCCGCAAAGTAGGAATACCTAGGGCTGAACCAAAAATTGTAGAAACAAGGCAGTTTAAATACTTTAATTCATCTGCATTTCAATACGACTTAAAAATGGCATTTCAAAGACACTACAACCTCTATAATTATGCCGACCCAAGTCATGCGTGGGAGGTATGGAAAACTATTTTTCTTGATATTGCAAATATGCATGCTCCACTTCGGATTCGGAAAGTCAAAAGTGAGCACTGTCCTTGGATGACAAACGAAATAAAAAACCTTGCGCATCATAAATTCTACTTGAAACAAAAAGCGGTCAAATTTAACTCTTCTAACTACCACGAAGCTTATAAACGTTGTAGAAATGAACTTAACAAAAGAATCAAAGCAACTAAGGTTCATTTTTACAACACTGAACTACAAAACAGTAAAAATAGTAAAGAAGGTTGGAATACATTAAATAATCTGCTTAATAGGAAATCCAAAACCACAATTGTTAATGAACTTAGCGTAGACCATGGAAAAAATGTAACACAAGATAAAGCCATAGTCGACGAGTTTAATAAATTCTTCACTTCTATAGGTCCCAAATTAGCAAATAACATTGCTGACAATGGCTGTAGTCCTGATCCTTTGTCATATATAGACCAAGTCACAAATGTATTTCACTTTCATAGCATATC